CCCCCCCCAATGGACGCCCATGGACACACGCATTGATGGCGGAAATAGTTTAAATTCCACGGGAGGTTGGATGGGATAACTGACTAATTGCATTTTGTGTGTGAGGGGGAGGATAGCTTACTTAAAAAAATAATTAGTTTTTTGTAGATGATATGATTCGTCGGTGGTGATGTCTCTAATATTGGTAGGTATATTATTTAAAGATTATTTAACGACTTAGATGAATTCAAGCACATAGTAAAAATAAAATTTAAGTAAAACAAGATCATCTACCTACATTTGAGATGGAATTCGAGAGAATTATTTAAAATAACTAAATTTAATTGTAATGACACATATTTCTCTTTCCACTTTAAGGACAAAATTAACTATACAATATGTGTTCGATGACGTGAATTTCAACTGTATTAGTTTTACAATGATATTTATTTTACCGTGTATCAGAACGTTTAACTACTTTCCACCTTTTTAATGATGATAGTGTGTATACGTATTAAGATTCTTATTATGAACAAAGTCATGGCAGTAATACAGGTATACATTTCATTTACCGATTTTATAAAACATAAAATACTACATTTTCCCAGCTATTTACCCAGTACTAGAAGTTCGTAAAATTTAGTTTAGTTATTTATTTTTTATAATACTAATTACTATCAATATTGTATACAATTGATACTGACCATAAACGATTTACGATTAATGTATGGTTGTTTTTTTTGTTTTTAATAATATCGGTGCAGCTTACATTAGTTTAGTATCTGTGAAGTTGGCATTTACGTTTTACCGGAAACAAGGTAGACCTCCGAGGTAAGTCGAACGCATCACAATAACAGAAGACAAACTTGTGAAATCCTGATCGACGGGAATGAGGTAATATTCAAAGGTGGACTCGAGAATATCTTTATTTTTGCTCGCTTTTTTTTCGGTAAGCATATAATATTATAATGCGGTGAACGTGTCCTTAAAAAATGTGCATGACACTACATGACAAAAATAAGTGCACAAACATTGTTTTAATGGTGTTTAGTCCATTAGTGTAACAGTTGCAGGTAGGGTGACCGCGGTGTTACACGACTCATCCGGTGACCTTGAATGCCGTTGAGTAAACATTCGGGATTGATCGATCGTAATGTTCCTAAATATGTGTATTATTATTTATTTCTGTTCATAGTGTTTAATGTTTGTACTATAATAATATTCTTATCACTCACGTTTCCGATAACGAACTCTTCGTTTTATAATATTATACTATTATTAATAATAACACTATAAAGTTTATACTAATTATTAAACGGTGTGGTTGTGGAACATAATATTATACGGTTGTTGACCCACAATAACTATTCTAAAACGAGCAGCAAAAAATAATTAGGTGACCTGATAATAACTCTCAAAAGTCCTTCATAATCTAACCATTGGAAATGAATAATAGTAATATTTATATGATGATTAATTTTATTAAATAATGCATAACTTATAAATTATAATATTAAGTATTAGAATTTAACAATAATGATGTAATTACACGGTTTTCTAAATTGGAACGATCAGTCAGCTCAACTGTCCAAGGTTGAAATTATAGTCGTCAATGGATCGTTAATGGGAGAACCTATTATCGGCCGAACGTCACAAACATGTTATTATTGTAGATATTATTATAGCTGTATCAAAACCATTTATTATAATATTTTAATTATTTTTAAACAATTTTTTGTTTCGTAGGTAACTAATATGTCCACGGTTATAAGTCAGCTATCTATATATGTGATTTATTGACAAAAAGGTTCACCTACTAATCTAAAAGTTTTAAAACTACACTAATATTTAGTTTACAAATGCAATTATTTAGAACAATGATTTATCTTTCTTTGTATTAGAAGAAAAAAAAAAAAAAAAACTGTCACACTAAGTTTAGATGAAAATTGCCAGGAAAACGTTTTTAAAAATAGAAGAAAAACCCTAGTTATATAAATTTAAACTAAATAAAATTTTTAAGATATTGACAAATTGATTTTCCAAAATAGTTCATTAGAGATAAGTTAAACATATCCTTAAGTGTTTACGATTTAAAATTACATGGATTTTTCCATGAAATGTAATTATCACCCAACTAAGGTTCTGAATTCGAAATATTTTAAAGTTGAAAATTTCACTTTTCTTGAAATATTTTCATGAAATTACCAAATATATATATATATTTTTCACGTATTCGGTTGATTAACCTAAACGAACGGTTAATTATTTCTTAATTATGAATGTTCATTGAAGAGATAGAATATTGACTTATATCATAAAAGGTCGTAAAATTGAATAAACATAGCAAAATTGATATGTTAATGATTTTAAATTAGATATAATTGGAATTATTTTATCGGTTTATTTATCATTCATAAATTGGGTACTTATTGGCTATTATTTATTAATTATTTATTAGCATTCGTTACCGCTGCATCCGCTTTGGGTCCCAAGTACTAGATGTTAATCGCAGGTAATAAATGAGCCTGGTCCCCAATATTTTTTGGTGAGTACTTAGCCATATAAACATTTCCCTTTCCTTTTTAACAAACTTAGGAGTCTATTTCAACCAAAGGTGTGGTTAAAAATATTTTTACAGTTTTTTTTTTAAATTTCATTTTTATTAAAAATATAAATTATGATATAATACAAATATGGGTATTGAGGTAAAATACCAAGCATTAATGTCTAATCTAAAAAGTTTTAAGATATTATAAAATATTTATTTTAATTGAATTCAAATGAAATATTTTAAGAAAATAAATTTAAAATCCTACACCTGACAATAAACAACGGAAATGATATTTGACCACCTGTAAAATATTTTAAATACAATTTTAATTAATTAAAATTTTATTTAAAACTGTCTATTCAACCTCTTTTAACTGCCAGCTTTTATGATTATCATACATTTACCTAGTGTAGGTAGTCTTCACACGTCGTTGTTACTGTTTATTATTGAAATTTGGACTGATGAGGTACCCGCAGGTGGGGAGAGCACTGAATTATATTTATTGATGTAAATATGACATACGTGTATGCAGTATACCTACATCGGGCTACATACAATGATACATTAATACATACCTACATACTTAGATATGCCTAAATTTAGATTCTGATAGGAGCGATGAATGATTTGATTTTACAATGATGTGTTTAAAAAAAAAACATACATTTTTTGTAATCAAATAAACAATAACGATTTTTAGTCATTTTGTTGTAATTTAAACATACTATGCGCGGGTACTTGAAACTTTTAAAGTATATATTAATATATTTTATACACACAATAACATTTGAAAATTTCAATTTTATTGGCAAAAATGAACGAATGTATTACTTACTAAATTGATACTAATTTTGAATACTTTAATAAGTAAACTTAAAGACACGTAACTTAGAAATAAAGTATCATAAAAATAAATAGTAAACTTAGTAATAAATAGGCTGATAGACTTGAATGATAGTCGATAGACCTCCTTCGCTCAAATTCTTTTTTTGTATTCAATGATTTTATATCATTGAAGTCAAATTTAACCCATCCATTACAGTAACCCCTCTAGACACCTAAACTGTACAGAGTAGAGGTGCCCAATTCGCAACTGCTCCACCTTTTTATCATTGTTGCGTTGGTTGCAGGGTGGATAAGGGTAATGGGGTTCGTTCAACGTTTTTGATTATTTATTTTCACTCCAAGTAAAGGTACAGTAGACTATAGTTATTGTTATAAGCATACCAGACGTTAGAAGTAATTAATAAGCATAATAAATTATTTTTATGCTAAATATTAAATGGTGAACGAATGCGCAAGGTCAAAAGTATTTAGTTTTTTTAATTTTATACCTCATAACATGTAGTTTTGAAAATTTGTTTGGCTTTGTATAATTGTTAGAACTTCTTTTTCTTATCTGAAAACACACCCAAATAATTATAATAGTAATAAAAAATAATAATAAAAAAAATCTTATTTCTTATATCTTATATCTTTATCCTATCTTCCATTGTTATATTTTAGACCCAATGACACACCCGTATCCAGGTGTACGTGAGGGTAAAAAATAATGTATTCCCAGAGGCCATAGGTACCTATGAAATGTTTGGCAAAAGAAACTATGATATGCAATTATTAAAGATTATATTTATAAATAAAATTGACGAGTTTCAATAAATGTTCGCATGTACCTTTTGAATTTTCGAATATTAACCGATCAAGTTTATTATGTATCCATTATTGATGTTAAAAAATAAACTCGTATATAGACTCGTTATGAAAAGAATATTTTTTTTTATAAATGTATAAGTAAATATTTAAATATATATGATATTGTATTACATAAAGCATGCATAAGCATATTTTTTTTTTACAGGCATTTTAAGATCACCCCATTGGTGAGACACCGGTGTCCCTTCGCTTCCTCCCATGTTGTTATATCTTAGCTTATCAAATTTACTATTGTATATAAATATTATATAATATAAAACATTGTGTACAATTATTTTTGTTAAATTTGTAGAATCACACAAATTATTACCGATAGCTGACTTCGTGGGTTTCAAAATAGTGGATTTATTTTCTGCTTCGATTTTGGCTAGCATATTTGCTCGAATCTGAGTATAACTATCTCCTTCGCATTTCCGAAAAAATAATATAATAGGAACTCCGTCATAAAACAGTATGTTTAACATCACAACTTACAACGAAAAAACTTACTGATTTGGTCGGGATAACCTTTCCCTCCTTTTTTCGATTTCAGGCAGTTAATTATGACTTCGTCGAAGAAACTACACTCGTGTTCTCTTTGTGAATCCTGGATGGAAGTCATCGGAGATGATTTTTTCCACAAGGTCCCTCTAAAAACCACGTGTATTTAAGAATGTAAAAAATCGAATACTAGGCTGTGTATAATTGTATTATAAAACTGAAAATAATATCCATGAACTACAGTATTCAATATTATTTAACTGAAATATAATATTAAGATCTAAAATGTTAAGTTTAAATGTTTTAAGGGGATTGGTGGCAGACAGTTTTTAAGGAAAAATAGGCAATTTTCAAATTGCATGTATGTAAGTTTTGTATCTGTGAGTAGTATGTGATCGTATTAGTATGCGTGAAAGAAATAGGAGAGAGCTTTTTCACGTTCATGTACAAGTCACCATGATGTCACTCGCGTGAAAGGTAAACAATTTATGGCCATTTGTATATTTACTTTTTGTCCATTCTACTGATCGACCTAATAACACGATAATATTTCAGAAAACTAATCTGAAATTGATACAATGCCTGCTTGAGATCGACCAGTCGATACGTCAAGATTTCTGATTTTAATTCCAAATAAACAACGTTTGAAAATTTACTAGACTTCAATATATTCAAGCCAAATTTATAGGAATAACGGGGAAGGGGGTAACATTGTGAAAAGTTGACTGATTGATCTCATGTATATTGTATACATAATATACATAATAACGAATTCAAATCAGTTTTTCAAGTATTATAATTTATCACATATTGCTGGGTCATTTAGTATGGTTGGTAAAATAACTGATCGCCACCAGTCACCTTACAACACAAAAATATACTTTGAATATCTTAAATTAATTTATTCCATAGGAACTAGGTCTAGTTATTATTATTTTTTGATAAGATTTTACTGTTCATTTTCATATGTAAACAAAATAAGAAACAATTGATAACATTTGGTAGGTACCTAGTACCTACACAATAATCAATCATGATTAACATCGGCAAATTGTCCAAAAGTACAAACACATTTTAAAATATACAAGAATGTATAATAAACTTAATGAAAAAAAATCTAAATTCATGAAATTAAAATAAAATCATCCCACATTTAACTTATCAACAATGGTTTGGTTCTAATAACGTTTGTACTAGCTCTGAGTGTGAAATGAAAATTTGTTGTTTTTCATTTGTACATTCTTAACTGAACTGTTAAAAAAAAATCGAAACATAACATAACCTACAGATCACATTTCTAAAATGCCATGATAAAAATTGTATAAAATTATAAATATAATTATGCGATACAAATATAATTAATAAGAGCGTGTTCTCTGTTTTCAATAATTGAATTAATAATAATAATTAATAAATAATACATAATATATAAAATTAAATATAATTAACTTTCCAATTATTGGATTTTGGAAATGTAGTTTGCATTTCTACCGTCTCGTTTGATGGCGTGATGAATACGATTTAAAAAACACTTTGTATACCGAAGTTAAAGATTAATACGAACATTGTTTGATAGGCATGCAGAAAATCCATCAAAGTCACAATAAATCAATTTTTTTAGTTTTACTACCGATAAACGAATAATCTTGATTTGGTTTTCAACCCCATAAAAAACGATCTATTGTTAATTCTAATACCAAAGATCGGATGCTTTAAAGTTATGCATATAATATTTCCGTGATTCAAATTTTATGATTGTTTCAAAAAAAATGTTCCTTTAATTGTCACATCAAAACAAAACAAGTAACTAACTAAACTGTCATTCAAAACAACTTTTGGTTTAAAGGGTTTAAAAGGTTAAAATATCGTTTGTAAATTATAATCATGCATAATATTATTATGGTATGATTTAGAAATTATGTCATTTTCAGTATTTACACAATATTTTTACCAAAACTAAATAATTTTCATAATAGTATATTATATATTGGAAAATGTGAGTAAGTACTGGTTTATCAAATTCTTGGCGGCAATTAATTTTTCATTTGATGTTGGAGGATTGGCGTCTGCATTTTCTTTGATATTCATTGAATTCTTGGAGGAATTTATGATCATTTGCTTATTGTTGATGTTCACCCACTTTTTTAGTTCGCTTAGATTTTTTTCCCTCCCTAGATAAACATATAATGTCAACAAAAACACTATATATATATATCTAAATATATATGTAAACGTACAGTTAGCACGTTTTAAATATGCTTTTAATCTGCTAACTTTTATTTAAATCCTTCCATTTCTTCAGTTTCTTCTGACCAGTTGAAAATTTACATCCCAATGAAACTATTGGTTGGTGTGTATACCCATTGTCCCCCAACGTCAATTTTACCCACCAATGTTGATAATTTGGTCTTTTTATTCCTGTAAAATAAAATAAAATATAAGGGTCATCAATATAAAATGTTAGTATATATTATATGTATTAATAGACTGTTATTGATACAATGAAAGTGAAATCAAACATGTTTTTTGTTTTGTATTTAAAAATCGTTGGTATTATTAATTAGCACTTTTAGGCATGATTGCTATAATTTTTAAGAATATCATAGTTATGAATTGTAAGATAATGGAAAAACGCTTGGTGATGCTATGTTGTCTATCCAAAACGCCGTATAATTAATGTATTTTTATATTCATAAGATATATTATATATTTCTTTGAGATACCGTAAAATCATCAAACCCTAGAGACGAAAAAATGAACAACAAATTGGGCCGACAGTCTGTTTATTTTATGTGACTATAAATGGAATCTCGAATAATAAATTATCATTATTATTAAGAACAATTTACAATGGACATTTTGTTGTATTATTATATTTATTTTGGTCTAAAGTATAGAAATCTCAAATATTGGATCACAATTTAAGTTTGTTGAATTTAAAACATTTCAATAACTGTATTCAAAGAAAAATATTATAGATACGTAGTTTTTAAACTAGACTAGTAAATTACATTATTTGTAGACTAAATTTTTAAGACTGCTTTGACTCGTGGTAACTTCAGATATCAATGCATTATTGGTGTTAACAAAGTGAAATAAAAATATGGAATTTGAGAAACATTGAACAAGTATGTATATTAATTACAAGTTCATGCTTTGTATATTCTGAAAATATTATATGTGTTTGTCTATTAGGTCTAGAAATATGATTAGACCTGCGCATTCACACCTTCGATCTGCCTCATATTATACCTTTATTAATAATTGTAACATAATAAAATCATCTACAATATATACCAGGGTCCAAATTGACGAATTTCATGATTTTGCTTTCACGATTCAACGCAGGAGGGTGTGCAACAGTCAAATCCATATGACCACACATCAACTTCACGATACGTCCAGAACATATGTTTTCCTTATTCGGAACGTGCATGCGAAATTTACACCCCTAGAATTAAAAAAAATTATTTTTACTTAATACAAAACGCTGAAATTAAATCGACCATCTATTAAATAGTCAATATCTATCTTACGAAAGGATTTTTCACTAGTTCAAATCGGAAAGCTCTTTCACCACAACACGGATAACGGCCTGTATCCAAATATAATAAAATAATAATATAATACGTTTATTTTTATTTATTGAAAATAACCATTATAGCTAATGAGGCTAACAATTGTTTGGTAGTTGACTAACTAACCCAAAGAAATATTTTGTTAGCACTATTGCATCTTAAAGTATGTTAAAAAAATTTATATAATAATGATATTTTATTTCCAACTATCAAAAATATACAGTGAGTACAATAATATGAAGAGAGGTTCTAGTTTTTCTATGATTTATCAGTTTTACTTCATTCACAAATATGAATTTAAATACTACTAGTTTTTAAATACATAATCAATTAACAAATTGTTTGTTATGTTCATGTTTGTTATATTGTCATCTTTGGTATTCAATGTAAGTATAATATAATAATAACATGATATATATAATATAGATACGCGAAGAGAAATACAAATATAAAATCAATCGTCTGTTGACTATATATTTATCACCCCGTGAGCTTATTACAACTAAACATGAACAAATCATGTTGTAGGTAAGTACATACAAATTAACAAATGCAGTTTAACAGCGTTAAATGCTCGTAGATATAATATTTTAAACTGTGTGTTGCAATACACAATAACTTTGATGTTGATTGAACATTAATGAGAATTATAAACTGTATAAATAGGAATAATATATATTCTAAGAAATGAGTTTTGGGTTGGTTGTTCGACAGTAAAATCAAAGATGTCGGGTTTGAGTAGACTTTTCACAGTTGGAACAATTATTATTTAAATAATTATTCTCAAATAGCGAGAATCGATTAATTTTTATGATCTATACTTATACAACAAATCAAAAAGGAAAAAAAACCAAAATAATATGAGTTATCTATTTAAGTTAAAATCTGTTCGGAGGAACCTTGAGTTCTATAGTACAAATATGGTTTTTTTAACATTAGCTACTGCGATAAATCACAGTCGACAATACATTTTTAATCAGTCATTTAGTCTCAGAGCACCTTAGATAGTTGAAATTTGGCTGCCATTTATCAAGAAAGTTGGTAATGAAATAAATTTAAAAAGTAAAAATGTAATAGTTGTATTCATCAGTTTAACCATTTTTTCCGAGAAAATATTTTATTAAAATGTTCCGAATTATGTATCAATTTAACACTTAAATCCAAGAAGGGGCATCATTGGGACTTGATAGAAGTGAGAAGACGTGAAGTTTTCCATTTTTAGCATATATATCTATCCTATAAAACATAATAATTACACCTTATTAATATTAATATTTTTAAACGCTCATATAATATATACGAAGTTAGATTTTGAAAAATATACAAGATAAAATTATGTAACAATGTGTATTATATTTTATTATTATAAAAATACGTTATTCGTTATACCTATGGGTTGTTCCAAGCCCAGGTTTCCAATCGGAAAGTATTCGGGGCTTTCCGGATGGTACTGGCACATGGCAGAGTTCTTCACCGGATACTGAAATTTACACGTGATGCAAGTTAAGAAATGACATTCCGACCATATTTGCCAGTACGTTTTTTCCCAGCTTCCAGTTTGGTTTACTAGGGAATTGATGTGTTTCGTCAAGTCCAGTTTTTCGCATCTAATAAAATTGTCAACACAGCTTTTCATTCAGTGATTATAACCACAGATTGTACAGGGCCGGATTCGATTGATAGTTTCGAGGTAGCACTTTCTCCATAAAAAATATGTAACTGGTATTTTATTTAGCAAATGAAAATACAATTGGAATTACGATTTGTTATTAAAATCGATTGTATTTTGAATGCTGGATCGACGTTTTCAGCGAAAGTATAAGAAGCAAGGTGATGGGAAAAGAAAATGTAGGACGATTGTTTCATCTGAATTGTTTTTAAGTTTTATTATCCGTCCGAATTCTTAAAATGGACTTCAATAAAGTTGATATGGGTACCTATTATAACAAATAATACAATTTTCTTTTAATAAATGTCTGAAACTATGAGTCGAATAATATATAGATAAATGGTGTGAACGATTATCGCAATAAATCGGCTTTCGGGCGTAACAACATCCTACACGAGAACGGCGTGTTTAAATCATATAAAAAGTAACATAAATATAGAGGTTGGGCCGTCTGAGGCATTTAATTTCTAATTATTTCTGTTTTTTTACAGACGTATTTTTTCTCCTGTCATTACTGCAGTCGTTGCTCGTCAACGCTCAGGACGGTTAAGATATTATTCATAAAATGTATATGAGCAAGTTCAGACTACAGTATTATACGGCTATACTCATCAGCTTTCGAATTTGCAATGGCTTTTTCTATGCAATTAATGAGATAATATTATCGTGTTTCAACGAATCGTATTTTCAAGTCCACGATGTAATATCTATAATCATTTATTATTCTACATGTATATTTATTATTTTTGATATACAGGTACCATAATATTATACCATGAATTGTATTTGTTTTTTTAATTGGGTTATAATTTTATAGTGATTTGTATATTATATGAAGTTGTATTTATCAAAAAAAAAAAAATCTAAATTCGAGAGACCACCAGTGCACCCGGCAGTCGAAATCCGACCCCTCTCGTACCCACACAGACCGAGGCAACTTCGTTTTGAGGTACTAGAAATACCCACACTCACACAAATCTACACACACAAATAGACCCTTTTTCCACCCCCTCCCTCAGTAGGATTACTTAGAGTGTACGTAGATCACGGTACCGTCTTGCTGCACGATAAACTCGGGCACCTTACACGGAATTCGGGTAACGTACTTTGGCTGTAGCATCATCTGACAGTCGTGACAACTGCACGGGCACCGAGACGGTGGTTGTTTTGAAACAGAAAAAAAAAACAGACAATGATAAAAAGTATTTTAATATTATAGGTATACATTGTTATATTATTTTCTGGTCAGATCGACTGTAAGGAGCATAGTATATTAGCAATGGTGGCGTGACATTTTTTTCTTCTTTGAAGCGACCGTTAAAAAGAAGTACCACGATTAAAGATATCATACCAATTGGCGAAGGTGGACATTGGTGCACAACTTGTCAAAGAGTTTAAGTTAAAAAGTTTATTTTTCAAACTTTTTAAGTAACTAGTTAATTTATTTTTGTTTCTAACTTATTAACTTATTTAGTTCAAATTGTTATTGTTGTACTTAGCTTCTTTAGTTGAATAATATCATTATCTCACAGTTAAGTCGATTTTCTTTCGTATCATTCGAAACTAACAGACAGTACTGATTTGTTGACAGTTTTTCGATTTTGGTAATTTATTTTCTAATAATATATCATAATTCATAATAATCTGATGTGTGCAGTGTTAATCGTCTTGGTAAATGTTTGTGTAAATTAAAATACTGTGGTGTTCTTATGATACTTGAAGGTATTATATGTATATAACAATTGTAGTTTGAAAAATATTAACTTTTTTAACTAAGTGAAGATAATTTTATTTACCATCTGAGCTTTAAACTCATGAAGTAAATATTTTCTTTGATAACTTTTAACTTTAACTGAAGGCAATTCGATTGAATGAACTTAACTTGTCCAATGTTGCCCATTGATTACACAACTGATATGTAAAATAATACGGATTTGTGGCCCCTTTCGTGTTCCGTTTAAGATATAACAGTAGATATAGCTACGTAAACCTGAATTATTTTCCCAATACGAGCTCTAAGATTAGTTCGACAATCCTTTTCATAACTAATCGGGGAGGGCCATTTTTTTCCGACTCATTGTGTTGCCAGTATATTATCTTTAATCGTGATAAGTGCCCACTTGCCAATACATTTTTCCAGTGTTTATGTGTGAATGGCTTACCCCCACATCAACCCCACCACCAAATCCAATCCGTAAAAGTACATAAATTTTACTCAAGTTGTAAACAAGGCTATTACCAATTTACCCCTACCCACTTTTACGATGCTATACGATCGCTTTTTGAAATAGCTGGTCGTCACACCACCACTGATGCGGTCGTAAGCCATTTTTGAACTCACTACATGGCGTTGGCGTACGACTCGAAATGCCCGTACTCGGCGTTCGGATGATTTTTGAGCAGGTCGTTGATAAGGTTTGTGTATGACGGTTGAGTTTGGTTCTGGTGTAACGGTTGCGCGTTGTTCGGGTCGGTATCGTCGGTAGAACTGCTGGACGTGTCATCGTCATCATTATTCCTACAATGATAGGTCTTATATAATATCACAACTAACAAGTAGCAAAGTATAATAATAACCTACGACAACATTTCAAGTCCCCACAATTGTTTTTGTGTGGACTTCAAATTGTAATACAAATTTTTGTTTTTAATTTTAATTTTAATTTTGCTTATTGAAAAGTACTAGTTTTATTTAAAATTATTTTTTTAATTTTTTTATCAACATCAGCATAAATTATAAATTTTGAATATCATGTACAAACATTTTCGATTTTAATATTACCTTTAAAGCATTTTTAACCTTTTTTTAACCAATATTTAAGATTGATTTGACGATTTCAAGCCTTGGCTTAAATATTTAATTTCGTAAACATTTGAAATTCAATAAATGAATGTCTATGAAAGAAATGTTGAATTTATATTTTTGTATTTCAGAAATAACTATGAGAAAACTTGAATTTAACTTAAAAGCCTTATGTATAAAAACTAAACATTTCTATGACTACAAAATAATTTTGAAAATTTGATTTTGACGAATTTAGTCAACATTTAAACTTCAAACTCTTATAAAAAAATAATCGTGCTTAAAATTATAATTTTATATTTTTAATTGGAATTTAATAAAAAACGTATGTGGGATCTTATGGTAACTGTTTAAGCTCTTTGACGGGGTCTAAACATTATTATCATCATTTAAATGTATTCTTATCATCTATGTAATAATCATCCCCTAATCCCTTCGATAACAGTAACATACTGTAATGTACGATTCTTCTTTAGTTGAACAAAGATGTCCACAGTTACGTAAATTAATTAATACATATAATAATTTTTAATTTGTATGTCAACTTGTATTAGGTATTTAATATTATGAATATAAAAGTAATTAAATTGTATTCGATACCTACATTAGACGATTCATCGAGTCAATAAATGTTTCTGTGTCCACCATATCCATACTCCATTTTTTTGGAAAATCCTTCATTTCATTAAAAATTTTGAAAATGCATTCAGCTATAAGAATCTTGGGTAAAAAAAAACAACATTTTACCAGCTTTTTTTTTAATACCGTTTAGTTGCCATGCAAATATATAGCAACTCATAAATTAAATACATTTGTTTGAAACGTAATAATAATAAACAATAATAATAGCTAAGTAATTATATTCAGTAATTCAAACGACACGTCTTGTCACTTAAAAATTAAAACTAAATTAAATATGAAAAAAAAAAAAAAATGAAATGGAAATTATAGTAGGTATAAGCAATGTAAGCATTCGCATTCCAAAGTATGTAGATAGTGTAGCATTGTATACAAGTTATATAACATTCATCTATTAGGTGTCAAATATCTAAATTAAAACTAATTATAATATACGTAAATAGTTTCACATTATTTGAAATGGTGTAATTTATTCATTGGAATTTTGAGAGAAATATTTTGTGTCAATAATATTAAAAGTCTGTGAGTTCAATCGACTAACTAACTAATTTCGTCACGACAAAATTAGTTTTCTGTTAATAAATTAGTTTGAGAATTTTAATTATTAGCATTCCGAGTCATAGCTATGTTATACCTACCTAGGTAGGTACCTAATGAATTGTATTGATGGAGTGCACTGTCTAATATTGCTCTGATATATTATGCAGCGCACCTATTTGCTTTTGTAGACTATAACGAGGTACTCAAATCAGTGACCAAAGAAATGTGCAAATAATATTATTTTTAAAATGATACTATGTTCAAATAAAAATGAGCACACTCATACAGTACGTCGCGGTCGACCGTATAATTTTATAAGACTTTAAAGGAAAAATAGCTTTTTTTATATATAATATTATGTATACAAAATATAAATATATTATTAACAAGGTTATGAACATTGAATAGCATTTCAAACAAGCAGCAAGTGCTTTGAAAATAATTATTTTAATCGTTCACATTTATCACATTCACGTTTCTTTAACGTTAACTTGTTACTGATTTCACAAAACACAGTCTTATTAAATAATAATATAGCGTTGTAATTAGGCAGGTAAAATATTATGTTTAATGAGTATAATAATGCATAATAATTTATATATACACAGGTATTTCATTTAATAATGAGAGAACGCGCTTTAAACATGTTATTATAATATTATTATCGGTAGTCTGCGCTGTTGTAAACATTGAATGTAAGTACAACAAAGAACTATTTTAACGAATAGTCATTAATACGCGTTCAAAGGATCCTTTTTTTGACTTCGACTGCAGCTGCTGGTAATTCTATCGGTTACGAGCCACCTAAACTTGAATTATGATGCAAAGCAGGTGAATTCAATACCCAACTTAAGTCTGTTGAGCTTACATTTTCCGGGGAACGGGGATGGCAGTACAATTTGAAATTTAATTACAATACTAATATTATGTCCTACCTATATATTTTCGTGTTTTTCTGGGAGTTTAAAAATTTGTCATCAAGATTGCTACATTTGACGCTGAGCGATTTGTGTATACCTACGTACTCGAGTGGAAGGATAACGGGTTCACATTTCATTTATTGCGCAATATCGAATACACGAAAATAACATTTACAATTTGAATTAATGATATAATATATTATTTTATTATACGAATAACTGTAATAATTTATAATGATCAATATAATATAATATAATTAATAAATGCAAAGTATAACCAAATCGTGCACAAAGCGAATATATTATTTTTCAATACAATTTGGTTATAATAGAGTATAAATCAAACCAGAACAATAAAATCTATTTTACGACAATAACACTTTGACAAAAATATAAAAACAATAATATAATATTATAGATTTTTCTTTTTAACAACAAACACATATAATTATCGTCTCTGAGGGACAAATGAGCTGGGAGAAGAACCGGGGCTTATTATGGTTTACGGTTTACCAATAATTGTAGTAGATAATATTAATTACGATAGTTTTCGATTAACACTAGGTTGGACGTATATATTTTAATATTATAATATGTTAATATAAACAAGTCTGGACATAAGTTAATCAGTTATTTGTTTTCATCTCGTTAATTTAATACTGCGAATAACGAAAAAATATTATTATGTGTTTCGTTACTTATAGATAGCGATAAGTTCTTAAAAACAAGATAAAATAGAGATTAAAATATTAGTCTTCGATTGAGTGATGGGTTACGTTAAAAAATAAAAATATAACGATTGGTAAACATTCATAGATATAGGGTGTACTTTATGGAAATAACATTAGCTAGAAAGTATAGCTTGTTTTGTAAATTGTCAATATCGCGATTAACTGATTTTTTTAAGGGAAATGTCCATGCCCAGCCTCTTGGATATTAGATGTATATATATATATTTATAGTATCGTGTGCTTTAATCAGAAGTGCGCACACATGTTTCAGTAGACATTTTTTTTCACGTGTATACGTAGATAAAAGTGCGTGGCTATAATAAGTTTGTGTAACGCTATATGTTGCATATAAACATGATATATGGGTAAGTACGTACATATAAATATATGCATATATATGTACGAATGATAATAGCGGTCCGTTGGGATTATAGAGGTACGCTGTCGTGTAATGACACCGCAGCGGTTGTTTCATGATTGCAATGTTGATGCTGTCTTGGCGGCAGAATTCAGTTTGACTGGACTAGGTTCAAAAATTCTTCGCGTGTCTTCGAGTCGTCTCTGAACACTCCCAACATGGTAGACGTGACGGTCTTGCTGTTTATCTTTTGTACGCCTCTCATGACCATGCACATGTGGCTGATGAAAGATATAGAAAGAAAAAAAAAAAAACTATTATCGCGCCATTCTTTACCCGAGTACCTGTTCTATTATGCGCTTGGCTATTGGCAATGTCTACATTATTATTATAATAACAGCGGACTACAAGAGGACATATTATTATAATGGACTGGCGTCGAGTATAATATTGGCTGTGGAGGTGTAGAGCGGAAGCCAGTTGGTATCAAATGTCTCAACTCCTGCACCGAACGCATGAAAAGTCCGAGTGCTTTAGACGCCACCGCCAGAAGCATCGTTTTAGAAATATTGTTTTGTATTCATTTTTTTTTAATAGATACCTCATTTTCTGCTTTAGTTCAATACTTTAATTATTATTATTATTTTTGTGATTTTTGAAGTTTTTGACGGACTGATCGTTACACACTACGTCAGTCCCTCTGCCCACCTGTTGTTTTTCTATTATCATCTATTCGTGTCAGTATTTAAAATATATATTGATAAGAGTGGCTTTGTCTTAAAAACATTTTTTCATTTTATTGTTTAATGTAATGGTGTTTTATGCACTCGTACAATTATATCTATACGGCATTTCGTTGTTCGAATGACAGTAACATTGTTACGATTTATTTATTCGTCTTTAGCAGTTATTCAATAAAGCTCTTACTAGTTATTTTTTTTTAAAGTAACCAGCGAGAGAATTGGTCTCATTAATTGAATGTCAAAGCACGTTTTTTACTCACAGTAACAGGGTGGAATTGAGTATTTACATACGTATACACAATAAGTTATATTATATATTATATAGTGTGGTATTGTAGCACAAGCAATAAAAGTTATTCTAACTTAAAATGATTGAATACCACTTTACCCATCGTAAACTCAATAAACTTCATTGGACGACATGATAGAAACGTATTTATAACATTGTACGACCTGTGATATTCTTATTATTCAGGTCGTCAAATTATGGAATTGTTTAAATATTGTTTTACGCAAATTAATTTATTAAAATCAATCCTGTTAATCATCAAATACTGAAATTCTTATAATTGAATTACGGGAAGACATAGTGCAAGTGTAAACATTTACGTAGAAAAAATTTTAAGTTCAACGTTAATCCTCGAACCACAGTTGATTTGCTGTACAATTATTCATTATACCTGCAACTGTTACTTTGTATATTATAATATCGACGATAAATTGTTTCATTTTCAAAGCAATAAACTATTAAGTAATGTATTTACATACATTTATTTAAATGTAAATTGTAAGACATTTTTTTCCCGGTAATTTACTGTTAAAAATTTGATACATTTTATGTATTTGGTACCATCGACGTATGACAACTTCAGAAACATCTATCCTCCTCTATTTCATAAATATTGTTTATTTTGATATTCAGTAGATTTCTTTTTGATTGCAACTAGCCAGGAAAATATCTATATTTTATGAGACCATGGAAGATATACATTAAAAGAAAACTGAATTTTAACATGTCAATTATTACAATGAGAGAATATTTTTAACTTTATTAAATATGATATGATACTTCTTTTGAGATAGGTTATACCTAAGAATAACAAAATTACAAAAAAAAAATGTAAAAATTTATGTGACAGGAATATTTGTGAATACCAGTTTGGAAAGGATTAATAATTAATATTGATTTTGACTACTGCAGTTGAAATTATATAAACATATTTGATATGAATATCGGAAATCACAGTTATATATGACTGTTTGAAAATAGTCTTAACCTTTAAAATACTTAATTCATATTTATGTTGTCCTTACATACCTACTTAAAATGTTTTACATCTGCTATTATATTGGTATGTCTTAAGTATTAACCCTATGAAGACGTTTAACTTTAGAGACCACTGTCATGTTTTTGGTATAAAAATAGACCGATTAAAAAATAGTCAGTAAATTCTTTTACCTGTATATTTACTAGACCTACATCGCTGTATTTATTCAAGTAAATTAGTCCCTAAATGTAATTGACGGATTTAGGTTTTATTATGAAGAACGTCCAAAATGGGATTTGGTGCAATTTTACTTCGTATTTTATTTTTAAACATTACACCTCAAGTTTGTGAGGTATAGTTTCCACACCAGTTGCTGATCGTGGATTACAAGCAATGAATGTTTGTTTCCGCGTTCTATTAATCAAACATGTACAGCTTACGACTTAACCATACATTATTATGACTTGCTATTGAAAATACTTTCCCCCTTTTATAAAGTTATAATGACGTTACCGTAAATATAAAAGTTTTTCGATAGCGAAATTTAACTTACACTCCTTCTATGACCACGGCAACTCCAGCAGGTTGGATGGCTTGGGTGACGGCCACAGCAATCTGTTTAGTTAATCGCTCTTGAACTAAATCACAGAAATAAAAAATAATACAATGTTTCATCAAACGGTTTGTGCTGAATAACATAAAATTGTTCCCTAATAAGTAATAATTATTATCAATTAAATAAAAAATGTTAACCCATCGACTAAGCTTATTGTTTTTGTGGGTGGAATTTTTTAGTAACCCTAAATCTAAAAGTCACAAAATAAAAAGTAATGAAAATGGATTCCACTGTTTGATAGTCTAAAAAAAAAATACGCATTAGTATTTTATTTTAATTAATGATATAATTTGTGCAAATAAGTTGTTGAAAACAATTCAAAGGGTTTTTTCTTTCATTACACCCGGGAAGAAGTCATGTATTTATTTTACTATTATTTTTTTTTTTAAATGAATATTCACTTGAATTGAGTTATCAACAAAAATAAATTAGAAATAACTTATAAATTTATCGATTGAGTGTATATGTTATATATTTACGAAATGTTTGGTTTTTGGTTCTCCATAGTAATGTTATACCTCATTACATTTTTTCTTTGAACCATGTAAAACACATTTCAAAAATATTAAATGCTTATCATAGAACAATTTAATTATTTTAATATGTTTTGACATTTAAATCATATCTATTGGTTGAAATTCATATAATTACAGAAAATAATAGCTTAAATATGTTTAATGATCTTAGTGGAAAATGAAAATATAGGTAAAGTAATACGTATTATTGTATTTTAACTGGTTCTATAGTTTGTTATGTTCTGACATTCTGATAATCCGATTAGATAAAACCTTATTCGTTGAGTTAATGGTCTATATAGTAATTATTATAGTACTTACGTAATATTTAAGTTTCATTTTATGACAAAATGTATTTTAATATGAATATTCATCCATATCCGATAGAAATCATAAAATTATATATTATTCTTTTAACTAAACATGTTTTACAACTTTAAATTGCTATGTTTTGTGTTTGACCTAGATATATTATCATTCGACTATCATTATATTTAAAAAAATTTAAATTAAATAATTGGTTTCCAATTTAAAGTTGTGAGATGAGGAAAGTTTGTACAATAACAGTTTCAAAAACTTCATCAATAATAATCAATAGTCAGATACGAGCACTTTTCGTCAGTCTAATAAATAGTACACTTATACAGCATTAGTAATATTATTTTGTGCATAGTATTTTGTTTATTTTTACCTTGCAGTCTTCTGCTGAACATCTCCACGATACGTGCTAGTTTGCTGAGTCCCAAAATTTTGTTTTTCGGCAAATATCCAATCGAAACTTTTCCGTAAAACGGAACTAAATGATGTTCACACATACTAAACATTTCAATGTCCTTCACCACAACCATTTCATCGTGATCCTCGTCAAATACCGCGTCGTTAAGTACGTCTAAAACACATACATTAAATAATATAAATATTGATAAATTATAAAAAAAAAATTGTTAACACGAAAATAATGTCATGGTGTTTATAATTTTCCGTTTGGAGTATTTGGACATATAAATCATAATTTAACTTGAAAGGTAATTTTAAACGTTCTCAGCATGTAATTACTTTTTTAGATCACTACGACCAATGCCATTTTACTAAAACAAACATGAATTTACTAAAAAAAACAAACTCCCAAGCATATTAAATAGTTTACAGTTATTCGTAAAATATTTTTTTTTCTTTTGGTTGAAGGCAAAACACAAGGACTCTCCGAGCAAACAATGGTTCATTTTTAAAGTAATTTCTAATAATATTTATGGAATGTTACTAGTTTGGAAATATTATAATTCATTTATAATAAATATAATATATTATTTACTATAATTATCATTAAATTAAATTGTACGATAAAATTATGTTCCATAATATTCTACAATATAAGTACTCCCTATTGAATTTCTAGTCGTCAATTATCCGGTATGTATTGTTAAGAAAACTACTTCTAAATAATGAATTTGTTAATATAAAATATGTATGCGCATTGTACAAGTAAACGAGTGTGTTTACATTGGTTCTCAGTACAACTATTATACATTACACAATTAGTATACTGTTTATAATTATTGTACTCGGGTCGCGTTAAAAATCATTTCTGTAGTACATTCAGATTACAATTAATATTATTAGAATATAATTTATTGGTATTTAATGATACTCTAGCCATGCATAACCTACATTGAAAAGCTTGTGCGAAGCTCGTTCACTATTGTGGATTGCATGTCAAGGTATTAATTGTGAAATGAATACAAACCATGATAAATTAACGATGCATTGTAGCTTTTTGTTGTATTGCATATAGCTTGGTACTAAAATCTCGAATATCGTTATAATTAAATAATATTTCGTGAAAACAGATGTTTATTTCGAACTACACCGAATGGAAAATATTCCATGAATAGTTAATTCACCCGTTGGTCGTAATATATATTATTACGTGTTGTATCTGTTATTAAGCTTGTTGTCTCCTCTTGCCAATAACGAGCATAACGTAGCAGTGGTGGCACTTGGGTGGACGAACGTTTAAAATAACCTATAATACTACTCGTAATATGTAATTCTTTAATATTCTACAGTGAAGTGACACTACAGTTATTTTGATTTTGAAGCGCATTTCAAAATGTTTGTATCTTGTTTCAAAATCAAAATATAAAATAATGCCTACAAGTGGGACCCGAGATAGTATTGTTGCATTTAAATTTGTCAGCAGGGTGAATTGATTCACATTTATATTAAAAATAATAACACAGGTAAACCGCATTATTCTGAACGTAAAATTTGCTATGTTGAGTGTTTGTGAGACACGTGTGGGTACAACGCGTAGTCCTTTTAACGTTAGATTGAAGGTGGGTATTAAAATTTAATCCACAATTACTAAACTCATTATAAGAGCGGTAACCGCGAGTGATTGGAGGTAAATAATATACGTGACCTAGAATTATACGATACTGAGAAGTTCGGACTTGTCGGGATATTAAAAGTTTGTAGTTAGGTGAACTGTATAGTTATGTGGTGTATAAGAGAGAGGTACCGGTAAGAGGTGTACCTATCTACTGTATATTACAATAGAGCCGAGGCGTATTTATGGTGGTCGAGGTAAATAATGTAGGAAGACCACCCCTTGAACGGGATTTATTCATAAATATATGTTTACACATTAATAATTTTAACTATGGTGAAATTAAGTATTTTTTTATATTTCTTTATGTTAAATAAAATTACGTTACCCCTCCTTTTAAAAATTTTAAACACGCCACATGTAAATTAATATTGCCTAAATAAAAAATTTTTCGAAAACGATGGCTGAAAATCTTTGTAACGAGATCCACACCACCAACGGAATATGAATTTAATTTAGTATAAAAAATCTTCGTTTCCTAAGTTTATAAGTTCAAGCAGCAGTTAAAATAAAACAAAAAACCGAAGGTCATATTTTTGTTTAGTGGTTTTATTTATTTTTAGGTCTCGTTTAACTATGAAAATTCACCACTGATGAACAGTCGCCTCTTATTAGATACTAGCTGATATTTGGCCTCTAACCATTATTGGTGACCTTTGTACATACGATTTACACTGCATTAATTTTAAGCTCAAGCAAGTCGCCTGTAGTTTCTCGGAAAATCAATAATTGTCTAAAATATTGAATTCAAAAATGCACGCCAGCCAGAGATATAATATTACAGTTTTACCATATAATTACTTAAAATCGATTTATTATGAGGGAGATGAGCTTCATATTATGTTATTAGTTCTTGCGAACAGCCGCCAGCCACAATAAAATGTTTCAATTATTAAATACTTAATATACAACTGTAGTAATAACGTTTTCATGTTAAATTGAGTCTTAAGTATTTAATTATGTATTTTTGACATATATTTTATACCTACTTCACATCTAAGATACAATTACATGAAAACTTTGTTAGACAAATCTAATAGTTTGCTAAGGCTTAGCCAATTTCACTGCAGGGACGATGTACAGTGAGTCTAAATATAAAATGTATACCAATAATAATACATATTATTGTTTAAATTATATTAACATAAAAAATAATGATCGTTATGAATGATTGTTGACATTTTTAATCGGGCGCGTAACTATAAATTATTATAGATTATCTACTTCATGTGGTACCATGTATAGTCGTTAGGATTTGGGTTATACTAATCGTTAAAATACAATTTTACTAGGTATTATAATAATATGTTGCAGCAGTGATTATAGCAAACTTATTTATTTTTATCAAACACCATATTGTTAAAACATCAATATAATTTTTTTTATTAAAAATAATCAAATCTTTAAGCTGTAAATTATTTTACTAAACAAAAATAACTATAATAATAACAATTAATTAACGCTTTTTAATTAAAAAAGGAATCAAAATATTTTACTTTTTGGTGTTTGAATTTAATTTGGTTCCTAACGTTAATTGATTTTTTTTTTTACGTTTAAGCATTAAAATAAATGATTAGACAGTAGTTTGCAAAAAATAAAAAAACAAAGTATGTATTTTTTTTTAAATTTATACTATTTATCATAAAAACTGATTGAATTTTAAACATTATTTTCTATTCGTTACCGTGCTTTTGGTATAAAACAGTTGTAATAACCGTATTATATTTGCACTGAAAAAAAAAAACAAAAACAATTGTTGTCCCTCGCTTTCAGTATACTGATTAACATGGCGGATATACGTGCTTACTGCTTTGGAGTACACCTACAACATATTCTACGTCAAATGTCATCGTCAGATAACGCGTTTGAAGATGTACACAGAAAAGGTAATTGGTGCCCTTTGTGTAGGCACACAAAGCCAACAATGGTAAAACATGATTTCAATATGAAATCTACTGAATAAAAGTGATGCCGATTAGAATTCACTGCTGAATATTAAAAGCGTAATAATATATACCCACTTATAGGTAGTGTTTGAATTCAAGTATGTCCTCCGTGAAAGTACGGAAACAACGAAATATTATATTTTAAAATAATTGAAAATCGAAAAACTAACATGAAAGTATTGCACAAAATGACGTATATGTACTTAAATGAATTAATATAATATATAATACGAGTAAGCATTCAAAATACTATAATATGGTAAACAGATAGGTATAGGTATCCTTCAACCGTCAGAGTATTTTTAAATGTTTTTCATTAAAAGATACTAGCATAATATGATTTATTATCTGTAAGAATAATTTTTTTCCCTTTTACATTTTATAATCGTACATATTAGCTGTAGTTTTAATTTATACATTATACCCATGCGTGTTAATGTTTTGTTTTTAAAACAACTAATCAAACATTATTGAAGACAACATTAGCTTAAAACAAATCATCTATAATATCAATCGTTTGAGTTTTTTTATTTGTTAAACTGTGATGTACCTACATACATTTGTATGCTTTTGTATGTATTTAATTATTATTGGTTTTTTTAAATAAAGGTCTACCTACTGTTGAAGTAAATAATCGGAGAAAAGTACGTTAGGAATCATCGAGTATAAATCAAATAAAATTTGGTTACCATGTTCATTATAGTTTTGACGCATAAATACTGTTGATTTGACCGAGTGATTTCAATAATTCAATTATTCGTTGATGCATGGTTGGTAATTATTTATAAAATACACCTGTTTGATGGTAATAAAAAAAATAGCGATACGTACTGATTACTATGTCTTCACAATTATTGGCTTGTTATAAAAATAATTTGTTCGTAATATAATATCGATAACACAAATCGCCCACCCGATACCCGTGCCATATATGTATTTTTAAAGCAGGCAGTGGGGAAAAGGGGTATGGCGTTCAATCAGAACATCGACAACCACTTGTAACCGGACCAGTATTGTACAATACCTCAAAAGTACGATGATTTAAAAGCTTTTCCGTCCCGTTACAGAAATGACGGCAATTTTCAATTTGCTGTTGCCAAGGTAACAATGCGTAGAAGGTTTATCAGTATTATCGGGTCGATATGTACGTATATTATTTTAAAAAATACTTAAGGACCAATACAAAAATATAAAGCCCGACAGCGTAATCGACGCTGCCGTACAAGTAGTTGAATTCTAGTCGGGTTTTCTCTTAAAACGGAAATTTAATATTTTTAAATTGAAACTCCTCATTGTCGCCAATAAATCATATAATATAGAGTCCGAAATTACTTAGTTTACCGCTTAACGGTAATGCGTAGTATAATACTGCACGCGCAGTAAATGATTTCGCACTTGCAATTATTAGACCTTTTACCCAATAATGTCCAACTCACACGTATCCTGTTGAACATTATTATGCGATATAGCCCGAAGTGTTACATTGATTTTTATGTAATGAAAATTCGGAGAAAAACATTGACGATAAAATAAATTGACATACTTCCCCAGGCA